GCCGCCGTGGCCCGCGCGGGAAGGGCTGTTGCCGGGGCTGCCGCCCCTTACTGGGGAACAAAACTGCGGGAATCGGTGCTGTTGCTGCTGGTGAGTTTCTGCAACAGGTTGTGCTGGTGTGGCCCTTCTCCGGTTCCTTTCATGAGGTAAAGTCGTCTGCTAAATGCATGTTTTATGCTCGAGCTGTGCATGTGTGCCTAGACCCCATGGGTGTTCAGGCAGTGTGAAGAATCACGCCCCAAGGCAGATTCTGCGCCCACCAAAGTTCTGGCAGGCTGTGGAGGTCTTTCAGCTCTTCCTCCCCTGGCAGCCCAGCAGGAACCAAGTGCAAAGAGGAGAAACCAGCCTGTTTTCTGGTGGCCCCGCAAGCCACAGTAGGACTGTCTGTAGCACCCTGAGCGGAGTACGTGTTTGAACCTCTGCAGGATCCAAGTTGCGCTGAACAGAGTCTGGGTAGCCACCACTTTTTGCTGGTACCCACAGCACATGGGGTCCGTCCGCCAGCGGTGGTCCCAGGAACGAAGGGCTGATGCAAAACAGCGCTGAGGCTCGCTGCTTCTTCAGCGTTGCATAAGAGTGGCTTGGGTTTAACTTGCTTCAAAACTTTTTTGCCTTTCTACACAGATCTCTTAGCTCTCTCTGCTAAATACTAAGAGGAGGAGGAACAGTGCTTTTAGCAGAGCTATGCGTATGTGTGTGTGAAGGCAGCAATCTTCCACTGAAGCAGTTCTCTTGGGAACAGCCATATTAAAATCATTCAGGAAAATAGTTGCTGTTGGTGTCTCTTATATGGTTAGGCAGGATGAAGATGAGCACTGGCCTTGTCTCTGAGCAAGCATTACTACTAATACGTTTGTAATAAGGGTGTATAGGCCTAAACCATACCTGGAACATCTCCTTCAGGCACAAGTATTTGCAGTAAGCTGCCAAGCAGGGACCTGAGCTCTCTGGCTAAGCGGCGCTTGGGTGAGGAGAGCAATTGTAGCAGGCTTTTGTGAGGCTTGTGAGTTATATGGTTTGGTGATGATGAAGCTGCACTGCCCTTTTGCAGCTCTGACTAATGTTATTCTATCCACCTTCATAGACTTCTGCTTTTAAAACCTACTGGTCCCAATCTTCCTTAATATACTTGAAAGGGGTTTCTTCGATCCTAGAGGAAAAACCAGGCCATTGGAAATAGAAATGGAAACTTAAAACTTTATCTTCAGCCTCATTTTCACCCCTGTAGACACTTCACACTGCTCCCATGTGGGGTATACATATATTAAGTGTGACTGCCACATGTGTGGAGAGAGGTGAATTGATTTAGGAAAGGTCAGAGAGCCAGAGTCAGTACTGGGATCAGCTGTGAGGGATTCTTGGTGCCTAGCCAGTAGATCACAATTTTTTGGCGTGAACATGGTGTGCAAAAACCCTGTGGTCTGTGTTTTAAACAGCGGTATCTCTGCGGAGGAATCAACCTACTCACTGTAGAAGTTCTACCTGTTTAACAACAGCTCAGGCGGTTGCTCCTCCCCACCTAACTGTCTTCGTCTTTTTGTTGCTTGGAGCATTACATTATGTTAAGATCAGCCTTGGTTTCATCCAAGCCAGAGACTAAGTAGTCCTGGTCACAAACCGGAGTAGTTTGCTCTTCCTGAGTGATTGTTTTGGGCCCTCTGACAACCAGGGCCAGCAAAACTGCATGTTACGGTCTCATTTCGGATTCTGCTGATTCTCTCCGTGACAATAAGAGCCCCTGGGTGCCTGTGCAACACTGAGGTCTCTGAATTATGGCTGTGCTTGCAACCTTAGTTACGTGGCAATGAGTAACAGAGAGAAGAAATCTGACCTACAGAAACGTAACACTAGCGCTCAGTGAGCTGATCTAACTAATTTATGAGTTTGTTTTTTAAGCAGAAACTTTATGGTTTTCATTAAAGCAGAACAACTCTGCTCTGGCTTTTGCAATTGGCCTACCTTCTGACTGTTATTTCAGTATTTTGGAGCTTGCCTATAAATATTTTTTTGCAAATAAAGCAATACCAGGAAACACGCTTACTGGGTTATGTCGTGGCTCACTAATTATTGTGCTGATAGCTTAAATCAGTTCCCTGAGTGCAATGAGTGCACCAACTCTTGAGGGGTGGTTTATTTTTTCCAGTTTCTACTGCTCTCTGCTGACACATCTGTATCCCCCCCCTAAAACAATACTCCTGGCAAAATATAAGCATAAATTCAGCCTCCATCAAGAAGAACATTAAGAAGCAGTTATTCTGGGAAACATTGATCCACCTGAAATCCATAAGGAATCTGAATGAGCCTGCCAGCAGTATACTGTACTCTTGCACTCTCAACTCCACAGAGTATAATCCACAGAAAAGGTGCAATGTAGCAGGGATCTGAGGAAAGGCTACTGGGTCATTCCTCCAGATCGCCTTTAAAATAGGCTGTTGGATGGGCCAGCTCTTTCTCTTCTAAATGTTATTATAACCCATTTACACTGGGAAGCAGTGAGTTTGCTGCCAGACAGCATACTTTCCATCAGAACGTTTAATTAGTGGGTGGTGCAGAGAGGTAGAGGCTCTGGTCTTCAGGCTGGGGGGAGGAAGGGAGAACAGCTAGGGTGCGTGCTGGGTGGTATTCCTGTGCACAAGGAATTGCACGTTTAGCAGGGATGCCAGCTCAGCTGTGTAAGCAAAGCCTTCTGCCCACTCACCCCTCAGCAAGGGAAATAGGAAGGGAGGCAGGTAGCCAAGATTAGAAGGAAAGCCAGCCCAGGGGTGCAGCTGGGTCAGGCCTTTTCCTTGCCTTCCCCCCCAGCCCCGGGGGTTTTGGTTTCCACACGCATGTGGACCACTCTAAGTTGGCCAAGCCATCCTTGACTCTGTGCTAAACACAGGCCTGCCTCAGAGTTGAGCTCTTCTGGTCAGTGATTTGACAAAACAAACAGGTCTTACTGCCATATCCTGAAGACCAAACTAGCTGCTGAACTTTATTGGAGCAAGGGCAGGTTTGATTTCGGGCGTGGAGAAAAGGCTGTCATACAGGGCTGACCCAACCAAAACCTGTGCCGTATGCCTTGGACTGCCTCTGAGTGAGAAGAGTTGTTTTTTGCCAGCATGTGAGGATGCAGAGCAGAAAGACCCTCTACCAACTGGGACCTTAAATCATCTTCTGCTCTTTCAGTTGGGGTCTATTCAACATCCATAACAAAAGAACAAGAGAGGGAGACCCTCTGCATTTCTGAGATTTAACAATTATTTTAACAAGTGAGAACACCTAAGTCCCTTAGCAACGGTTCCTTGCTCTTCTCCCTGTCTGACAGCTCAGCTCTTCTTCAGCTCCTTTCATCAGAGCAGAAGTGCCTGCTGTGCCTTACTGGCCTTGAGCCACCATGGGACCAGTCTTTGCAGGCCCTGAAGGCTGACAGACATCCACTGGGGTATTACAGCATGGATCCAGCTCTTTTGGGATTGGGGTGCATTGCTCCCATGCTCAGTGAGCAGCAGCCTGTGCTGCTTCTCACAGTGACATGCTGTTCCCAAGGCATGATCTAAAAGATCAGGGCAGAGATCGCCTATTTGGGCCAATTTGGCAGTTTACCCTCGCAGGCAAAGAAGGAAATGGAGAAGTGAGACTGCACGTGCTGTCCGGTCAGAGCAGGTATGTGGGAGGAGGGAGGGCTGATCAGTCCCCTCCTCAAGGGCTGCCAAGTTGAAGTGATCTTGATTCCCACGAAGGCAGACAGGAGAACAAGGACACGTCAGCCTAATATTGAATCCTCAAAGGAACCTGCTACCAAGCTCATCTCAGCCCATGGAAGGGCTATTCCTGATTTCTTTAGGCTTTGGATCAAGACTGTAAGAGGGTTTGAAGTCGCTGTGATCACAGCTAGTTATCAGGGTGGTAGACTCCTCTTCTGCAACCCACTGTGCGTAGTTGCGCAACTGTTTCATTTATCAGCACGCAACTAACTTTTCTGGCCAATCAACTTCTACTTCTGTTCAGAGGAATTAACGTCGTTTCCTGTTTCATTGAATATTTCTTAAGTTCTAAAATACCCCTTCTAAAATACGGTAGTTTATCTTTTGTGATTCTGCATTTCACATCTTCCTTTATGCTCTTAGACTTATTTCTTGCCTCTTCTCCTATGTTTTCTGTTTCTCCCATTAGCTCTCTAAACCAAGCTCCCCAGCATTTCTACCTAGCAAGCTCCTTCGAGCAGCTAGACACCTTCTCTAAAACAAGCCAATCCCAGACAACCGTCCCAGCCCTTACACTTATGCTGCTGCTAATTTCGCCCTAATCCATTTTTAAAAGAGAGGGCTGGAGGACAAGGATGGAGTCTGAGGAGGGAGTTCCTCTTTTGTCAGTCTGTCTGCAACGCTGACAGACCTGTGGCGTGACTTGCACATTTTCTCACGAGAGGAGCTGTTTTAACTCTTCCGTGATCACTTCAAAGATGTTTTTTTCTGGTCTCTTGAGTTTCTATGATCATTTTATTAAGTAAGGGGCTGATTTAATCTCTATTTTAATCAATTTCTAATTTAGATAACTACATTATGCGCTCATCTTCTGCCTGAACTTCCTGATTCATTCTCTTTGTGTTCTGCAGACTTCCTGGCTGTGCTTCAGTAGTGGGCGACTGAACATAGTCTTCTCTGCGTCGCACTGATAATAGTAATGTGACGTTTAACGAGCACCTGTGAAGTCCTGTAGCAGGTAAGTGCTCCAGGGGTCATTCTCCTTTCTGTGACTTGGAAAGCCTTTCAAGCGGCTCTCCCCGGGAGATCTTGAGCCTCACAGTAGAAATGTCAGAAGGAAAGTGGCGTGGTTCATGTTTCAGTAACCTTTGTGTTGTTCCTGGCAGCGAGGGTCACCTCGCACTTGTGAAGCCCACCTGATGTAGCAATACTGAGAAGGTTTAATTTGGAAATGGCTTCAGTTTGGAAGCTCACTGTTAAAAGCTTCTCTCTTCTGGCATTCAGTCTAGAATTGCTCTGCGTGGTACCATTGGCGGGGCGAGGACAGCAGAGGGTGATGGCAGAGAAGAACAAACAGGCCCAAGCTTTGCTGACAGCACCTGCTGCTGCATTTACTGTCGTGCAGGAGAACTTGTCAAAGGTACCTTACCCAGACCGGGAGAGCGCTAGACCTCCCTTTTCCAGCTGTAGGGGAGATCTAACTTCTGGAAGTGCCTGGGCAACCTCTGCATAGTCAGGGGTGACAGCGGAGGCAAGTGCTCTGCCATCAATGGAAGTGAAATAGCAGCTTTTACGAGTCAGCAGTGTTAGGGTTTTAATGGTCTGGATTATCTTTGTACCAGAAACCCTGTGAAACCCAAAGAAAGCAGAGCTGTCTGGTGAAACGCACACCTTTGGCAGTGCTGCTCCACAAGTGTGTGACAGCAGGCTTGGGGGTAGCAGTGGTAGAAAGGGAAAAAATGGAGCTGGTGGTAAAGGGAGCCGGCAGAGCAGCACTCCTGGTTGCTAAAATTCTTCCTACAGCTCTGAGTACCTGCTATTCCGTGTATTTCATGTGTTGTTTTTTTTTTTTAATCTGGATCTGCTCCTGCACTGGATGGTGTCTGTCCCCTTCTTCCCATCCCAGTTAGTTCAAACGGCTGCTCTGCTCTAGCAAAGCTCTGCTCCAAAGCATTTCCTGGCATACTCTTCCAACCTGCCCAGATCAAAACTTTGACAGCTGGCCCCTTGCCATCCTCCTGTGTGTAAATGAGGTGCTCTCTCTTTCCCCCATCATCTTTCATTATTATCCCTCTTCTAGAGGCAGGTTTTTCTGGCTGATCCAGCACATTATTTGTATCAGTGATATTTGCCTGAGGGCAGAGATGCTTTTTCAGCATATACAGTGAAAACATCTGATGCAACCCACTGCCATGCATGTGGCTTGGAAAAAACAACTTTATTTGGCAAGGTTGAGGGCCATAGAGGCCAACCGTTTCAGAATTAAAGCCTGCTTAGGCGCAGTCTCTGATTCATATGGTTATTTCAGTTGTGTGACAAATACAAGCATACCGTTCTTTCCCTTTCAAAACCATAGCGTAGAGCACGTAGAGAAGGTTCTTGCACCTAAGCAGAAAAGTGACGTGTGCTGCTGTAAGACGTCAGCTGAGCCAGCTGTGTCACCAGCTGCATCTTTCCCTGGATTGCCCTAAGGGATGGTGGTGCCACCACTTGAAAATTCACTGTTTATAGACAAAAGCAAATGAAAACAATGAAAATCTACCTCTCTAGGCCAGAGACCTTTGCTTTCAGTTCTTCAAAATCACAGAGGATTTGGTGGTGCTTGGTGAGCACCTGATTAGGGAGTGGGAGCAAAAAGTTCCCATGTTGCCTGTGGGGAAGGAAGCAGCTCCCTAGGACAAAATGCCATGTATATGTGCCAGAACCTCATCAGGGCTTATGCCTCTCTTCAGAAAAAGTGCGTGCAGTGATTAGGAGAAAATCCTACAGGGAAAGGTAGTTAAGCACTAGTCTAGACTGTCTCGTGAAACAGAGATGGTGTTTTGCTGGAAGCTTTTCAGAACAAAGTAGATAAAAAATTGCCGGAAACCATTCAGGCAGCATAGGCCCTTCTGTAGGCAGGGGGAGAGACTTTGTCGCTTCTTGAGAGCTCTTTTATCCCAGTTTTTAGGCCCCTGTAGAATGTTAATATAGACCAGAGACGGAGCTAAGGAGATGTTCTCAAGCCTCCTGTGAAACTTAAGTGTTTACAATACAGTGCTTCCAAGAGGGGCTTATGCTTGTGTGTGTATCTGCATCCAAATATATATAAATGTATATCGTTTTTTAATGCTTATTTCCCAAATCATTTACTCTTGATTGTTCAGGTACTTGACTGCCACTGTTTTCAGATGATTTCACTGGAATTTTCTGTAGTACACTACTTCTGAAGCTGCAGATCACAATACATTCATAAAACTAAAGACGACATTTATCTCTTCGCAAAGGCTGGTAGGGGGAAGGATGAGCTAGGTTTCTACTTTTTGCATAGCTGAAATACATCAGCAAACCCTCCCCTGGTGTGATAAGTGATAAGATAATGATATGGGTATTCGCCTCAGCTGCAAGTAAGGAACGGTGTAAGGAACGGTGTAATAAGGTGTAAGGAACGGTGACGTAAAATATCTGCCACTTTAGATGACTTAAGGATATAGAGCTTTACCGTGGGTCTACCTAGAGAGTTGGTTATGCTCAGTCTGAGTATCAAGGCCACCCTCTTCTGCAGCCAAAGTTGAAAGGCAGTCTGAAAGTTCTGCCTGAAGTCCAGCCAACCTCTTTGTTGAGCCATAGGTACTTCACACTTGGAACAAGCACTGGTTGCGATCTCAAACTCAGGAGTTGTGGGAGGAATTGTCAACTGAGAGGGATACGTCTGCATCCTAAGTCATCCAGAACGCATGTTCTTAGCTCAGTCTTGCATTTGCTGCTATCCTCAAAGCTTTCAGATACCCATGTGGAGCTTTAAGCTGTCATCATTCCTAAGCTAAGCTCCTTGACTGCTCTAGCAAGGGGGATTTTTGTGCCCATGAGCAAGGGCCCCACAGCTATGACTCACAGTTCCCATTGCGCTGTAAATTAGATTTTGAGTGTGGCAGAGAGGCCGTCCCTTGGCTTTCAAACAAAGCCTTCCTTTGTTGTGCTTATGTTTTAAAGGAAGCAAGCCTTTGTGTTCACCACACACATGTCCCAAATGAAAAACAGCTTCACAGCCCTCACGTGTGTGCTCAGTACTTTTGCTACAACAGTGAATGTTGCATCACTTTTATCCCATGAAGGTTTTCTTCGAGCTGTTCTTCCCAGCATTCAGTTTGCAAACTGTTTAGGGAAAGGAAGAGCCTAACGATGGCTTCTTTTGTTGGGATTGAGCAAAGAGCAGAAAATTATTATATACCTTATGGGTGCATGTAGTAATAGGCTGGTTTCTGACTCACTCCCTAGAGTGAAAGCAGCTCAGATACTTCATGGAAACACTGTACGGAAGTGAGTGTTGCTTACTTGTATGGCTTTTATTTTCTCTTCTGGCTTGTATTGATTCAAACTAGTTTTAAAAACCAGGGTTAGCCAGCAATACTCTGCAGCCAACATATTTGTGCGTGCATGTGCCTCTTGGCAGTTTTTAGGTTTGTGATTAGTAAGGCAAGAAGGGGCTTACTGCTTCTGAAAGCATTCATGCTGTTTCTTCTGTTCATTTGTAGAGTCATCGGTGAAATAAGGGGGCCTGATTCTTCCTGCATACACTGGTGTGTCATGTGGAGTGCCTCTGCTTAGATCAGGGCAGTTATCCCAGTGAGAGCAGAGGAAGCAAGACACTACCCTAAGAGTGCTCTTTCTTGCTCTGTCTCCCTCCCCACCCTCTACCCATCCCTGCAGTATTTTCAATGTTTTTTACCTTATTGGGGAGCTACGATATCTTTTACGTAAAAGCCAGGATTTCATGAAATGGCATAAAGCATTGCTTTTCATTTTTGTGGTGATGTTTTTGCTCTAATAGCCAGCTTTTTAATACTGTTCCTTCCCCCCCTCTGTTTGAATACCAACAGCTGTAACTAGTTATCAAAACAATAGTCCGATATCATACAAACCACCCATCCTATCCAATGTTTTTGAGCCCTGTTTAACTAGATACTTGGGCCTGACATGGCTGTGTTAATTTATCACTGATTCAAGACTATGATGGAGTAGATGATCCTGAATCAACCAAATACCGAGCCCACAATGACAATTTTTTTTTGCTGTATTTTGGTTTAACATCTCAGTGTGGAAGTATGTGGCAACTTAAGACTTTCTACAGTCTGCAATACATAAATGCTTGTTGTTAATGGCTGAAATGAGACCTTGTAGCTTCACATGTAAAACAATCATTCTACGAGTCATGTCTGAGCTGTGCCAGTATCCACATGTGCTTTTCTGGGATGTGCTGGAATGGTGTATCCCTGCTGGGAAACCAGCTTTCTAATGATATTTCCTCCAACCCTTTGAATACTGAAGCATTCATTTCAATGGATATACAATATACAGTTAAGCTGGATGGGCAGGGATACAGGGAATATGCTTTGATTAACTTTAGGATGGGCAGAGACAGAGTAACCGCTGGCTGATTTAACTGTGCTGGTTAGATTTTCTCCACCCTTTTGAGAGTTAACTGGGGAAAAGGAGGGTAGATTTAATGAAGCATCTTGGCAATTGAACCCTTTTTTGTATTCTCACCACCTCCCCCCATACTTCTCTTTCTGTGAGGTGACTGCTTCAGATCAAGGAGCCATAGCTGCCTACATGTGCAAAGGGAAAAGTTCCACGACAGAGAGCAACAGTCAGAGTGGGTCCTCCTGTGTGAGGCAGAGGGCATGTGTGCTGTGACATTGCTCCATATGTTGCAGTTGATATTATCAGGCTTTCAATAAAGCAATGGGGGGTTATTGTCATTTGTGTCCATCTGCACTGCTGAAAGAATGTGCAAGGGAAGGAGCGGCTATTGTCTTCGCGCCTATCCCATTTGGTTTGAGGGGGAGGGAGCTGGTGAGATTGGTGAGCCAACTTTTTTTTTTTCCAGTGAGATTTTTGTTTCCTCCTAAAAACAGAAAAGTTTGGTCTGCTCCAGTTGTTTTCCTCACAATTAAAAGGCAAAACTTACTTGGCTTGAAAAGCCAAGCTGTTCCTGGCTGGAATCCTACCACAACAGCTAAGTACGTGGGTGGGAGTACATACAGACTTCCTACCTTTCCCTTCATGCTTCCCTCACAGCCAGCAGCACATTCCAATTTGTAAAAACCCTTCTCAGCCATAGCAGGGGGGACCTGAGGCATTGCCCAGTCAAAAGGCAAAAAACACATTCAGACATCATTCAGGATACTGAGAAACACACTCACCGCGCTAATAGCTTTGTCTTATGGCCTTCATGTACGTCCCCTCTTGTTGCCACCCTTTCAAAGAAACAGCAAGTGTTTCAGGGGCATGACTTGGTTTTGCGCTTATTTAACAGCTATTATACCCATCCTTGACAGTGGCTCCTAGCTTCTGAAGCCGAAAGAGACCAGAATCATGTTCTTGTCAGTGGCATGTGAGAAATGGTGATTTATAAATATCCAGATAAACCCTCCAAACTCAGTGATGAAACTGAAAATCTAACAGGTACCGCATTTCTTTGGGTTTTGGAAAAGAGCCCTAGAAGGCAAATAACTCCTCCTGTGCCACAATGAGACAACTCTTCTGTCTAGGCTTTAGGGGCAGGGGGAAGAGGGACCATGGGCTTTTATGGAAACATTTTAAAAATGCACCTGTATGTAGAGAAGGCTGAGGCAGGAGCAGAGGGGACAATCTGGCAGTATCTTAAGTTCTACTGCAAAGAGAAAAAAAACGGTCTGTCCTTCTCTTACCCACAGCGGTAACTGGAAGTTAGGGGTTCAAACCGCAGCAAGGAAGATTTAACTAGGCATGACAAAAAGCTTCCTAATGGCAAAGATAGCGAACGACTGGAAGATGTGAGGAAAACTCCCTGTCCTTCCCAGAATAAGTCAGACACCCATCTGCTCAGAGTGACAGTGGCAAAACCTGTCCTCACTTGGAGTTCTGGAAGTCCTTGCTGTAGGGTGTCCCAGAACCCACAACATACCGGCTTTGCTGGACCTGAGAGTGCATGGTAGCACCTGCCTCCTGAACAACGTCTGCGCTGTTCACGTCCTTATCCGCCCCTAGGCTGCCTATGTATGGGAAGGGAGGTCTCCCTAATCCTGTACACAGGATGAGCATCAACATTTCCATGGAAATACCTGATATGGTGACCTCGGGAAGAAAATATTGCTTCCGAATGTCCGCAGCAGACCTGTTGAGCAGGATGTCCGATGCAGGCCGTGCGACTGACCCTGTTGGCACTGAAACAGGCCTGAGACAGGATGTTCACAGATGTTACAAAGGTTAACGTTCTCAATCAAACAGCAAAACAACAGTTATCAGGCAAGTGGCCTTGTCCAACTGGTGTCCTATGGCCAAACATCTAATCTGGGGTGGGGCTTTGTAGGCATGTTCTGGAAGGCAATCGCTCTCATCTGTCCCCATTAAGTATTGCGTGGTGAGCTTAGGAAGTGTGCCATGTCGAAGCATGAGTAGTAGGACTGGAGTTATAAGGCACTTATAAAGTCACTAGGGGCATGTGGTCCTGAGGTCTAATCCCTTGCTCTGCCACACCCACCTTGTGTAATCCCAAGCAAGTCACCACCACCAGCTGGCTTGTTCTTTTTAAAATATGATTCTGGTACCAGTCTCAACATCCAGGCCTCATACACTGGTGTATTCAGTCCTGTCCACTGATGGCTTTGGTAGGGAGCCAAAGACAGAGCCTGATCCCATCAATCCCATGCAGAACCAATTCTTAACTGTGCTGGCAACAGAAATTTAGTACTTCATGGCACTAATTTAATGTTCAAAAGGGCAAATCAGAGCATGAGTTGTAGCTGCTGTAGCTGGTACTTTCTGTCCCCTGTCAGCTCATCTCAAGAATGTCCTGCACGCTGCCGTGAAACAAGTTGGTGCTACTAAGACTGTGTGTCGTGTTTTATGGCTCCTAATTTTTCTGGCTGGTGTCTGTGCTGCAGCTGACTACATGCTCAAGAGATGGGAGAGCAGGAGCCTTTTCCCAGCTGCCCCGCACTACTTGTTCTCTGGGTGTGCTGCACTGGATGCTGCCAAAGCAATGCTTAAAAGCTGGTGATGGAGCAGAAAGTTGGAGATCTTCATTGCTCTCTATGGCTCTGGGCACATGTTCTCACTGCAGCAGTGGGGTCGTCATCCTGGGAAATGGAAGCCACGTAAGGCTCCTCATATAAGCCTCTGTGCTCTGACAGCCTATGCCACGAGACACCCTGAGATTAAAAACTAGACACAGCCATATGTGCTAATGCGTATGCAGCTGAGTGGAAAGGGTAGACTGGTTTAATTAATTCTTAATCACTTTGGGGTGTGTTTCAGTACGTGGGCTCTGCATGTTTGCCTCAGCTACGAGGGCCCTGCAGCCTGAGGGTCCAACGCCACGCCAGCCTGACAAGGTGCCGCAGCCCCACCTCTCTGACTCAGATGAACCTAGAAACTCTTGTTTCAAGATGTAGCTCTTCTGCATGACGTCTCCCATGAGCTGGCTCAACGGGCAGCTTCCATCCCACTGGGGTGCTGGGAGCAAACACAGTGCTAACCTGGAAAGAAATCTCAGTTAGTTCTGGTCTGAAATTCTTCACCAAAATGGCACTTCTCTCTTACTCCAGAAAATGCTTCTTCAGTAATGCTGGTCTCAAGAACAAGACAGGCTTGACTGAAGTCCTGCCAGAACCAGCTTCTCAAGTCCTTTGGAAACCCAGGTCAAAACTGGAGATCAGAATATTGACCTGAAAGCAGCCAAGTGATGAGGGCAGCAGCTTCAGGAGCTGGGAGGGAGAACAAAGTTTAAATTGCTGTTACTCCCTCCTGAAATTGGAGAAGAGAGTTGAACACCAGTTTCCCTCACCTCAAATAAATGATTTGACTCTAAGGGCATAGATGTGTGCTGTTTTTAAATGTGTGCATTTAAAATTAAAACCTGAAAGATTTGTGGTTCTTCTCAGTGCAAAACAGACAAAATCTGAGCAAAGGCACTCCCAGCAGCTAATGGCAGGGACAAGTCTTGATATCATTACCAGAGTTACCCTGTCTAGTGGTACCTTAGTCTTTTTCCACAGACCTCTATCCAGTAATTGTCTGTACCTGAAGCTTTATATGTAGTAGCTGCTGGGAAAACCAGCCTCACTATCCGTCCTGAGCCAGCAAAGGCCTTTTAATTGCTCTGTAAATGTTGATGGGGAGATGGAGGTAGAATAGCAGTGTCAGTGGTGCACTGTTGACCAATTTAAGTGCATCCTTCCAAGCTTTTGTCAGGAACAATAATACAGATATGAGTCTCTTTACAATTTCCATTTCTCTTTCAATGTATGTGTCTCTTACAGGGGGCTACAGACTCTGAATAGTAAGAGGAGACTTGACTTTTCTCTGCTGTAGCCTGGTAGATCTCTGAATACTTGCAGAGATGGCAATGATGTATGCAAACTGGAGAAGGCAGTAGTGTATTGAAAAAGATTTTGAGCAAGCTTAAAAGCTGGCTTTTTTTTTTTTATATTAAAGCTGTTTAATTTGTGTTTCGATGGGATCTTCATAAATGCAGTATAAGTGTTTTCAGACTATACCCTCAAAGGCCTAAAGGCTATTTGAAGAAGAATTGTGGGGCTCCCAGAAGCTCAATGATTAGGGAATAGGGCTGGGCTGGGCTGGGCTGAGCCCAGAATCCCTGGGTTTGAAATTCACATCCTTCCAGCAGGAGTCCCAAGTGCAGTTTAGTGGCTGTTCTGGGCTATTAATCTCTCCAGTCAAAACAAGCGGGAGATCCCATTCCAGATCTCAAGGACCTTCCTAAAAAGACTCTCAGAAATCATATTGATTCCTATGAAGTTCTGGTTTCAAAAACTTGGCAGCTTTCAATGAAAAAAGTTCCCAACCAGCTGTACTTATTATCATCTCTTCAAATCGCCTCTTTTTTGCAGCCTACCAAACCGAAACACAATGAGGCAGCCACCTATTCATTGCCTTTTGTGTTACCCAAATTGCAGGAAGTAATTGAGTATGTCATAAATGACGTCTTGGCGTATTTCTGTGTATCACTGGACTGCATTCAGTGGCTTGAGTTTTTCTAATTTAAGAATCAGAGCATCAATTTGCTCTTATCTGGTTTATTAATGAACATCAGCCAGAGCATGTTTTGCTTCCCATGATTCAAAATTTAAACAGGGGAAAAAATACAGCGGTATAAGAAGCTCCTGGGGAAAGAAAGGAGCCATTAATGAAAGAGAAATAGTCTCCCATGTCTTCAGAGAAGATGGAGGGTTATCTGGGCTCAGGGCACACCGGCTTGGCTTCCTTTCCAGCCCAGGCATGGCTGGCACTGCCTGCATATAGCCAGCATGAAGAGTCCTTTGGCAAGCCTCTCTGGGCATACTCCTCCCTTTATTTTTATGATGTGAAAGTAAGGGAATTTAGCCTGCTCTTCTGAGCATAAGGCCTCCTGGCCCCATGCAGAGACTGCTCTCCCAGCTGTTGCTTGACCTCAGCCAAACCACTTCCTGCCTGTGCTAAGGCTTATGCATTTGTGTATTTAGTATACTGCTTCCCTTTCCTTGCAACACGCTAAGTATAACCGTGCTACAGGCAAGCAGGTTAACCAAACAGTACTGAATCATACAGTGAAGCACTCTGAGAGTAGCTAGTGTGTGAACTGGTCGTCTTCTGCGTGTGTCAATGTGACGCTCTCCTGAAGTGCATAATCACAGTATTATCTTTTCCCTCCCTTTCTGAGGGGTTCCTGCATCATTCAGGGCCTGAGCTGGACCTGCTGCAGGGCTGAACAGGATCATGTAGCCAAGCGGCTGCTTTAGGCTTGAAAGGATGAGGCCTAGCTTGCCTGGGAGCTGAGCATTGAAAGCTGCAGCTGCACTTGGTGAAGCGTTTGAACATACAAAGCGCTGTAGGATGCTACTGATAATTTCTTCTAATTGAGCAACAGAGCAATCAGCTACTTTTATCTCTCTGTGCCCTCACTCCACAGCTGGAGAGCAGGGAGGGTACCTGCCCCCTCACTTCTCAGGGTTATTTAGAGTGATCTTTACCTTAAAACCTGTGAAGCATTCAAACACTGAGCTAGTGAGTACCACAGAAATGCCCAGGAGGAAGCTAGTTACTCTAGTGTCAGAGGCGGGTTTGAACAGTGTTACATGTTCATCAGCACTGTGCAGAAAACTCAACTTTGCATAGCTACGGTCATCGAGCACCAGCTGCCTCAGGAAGGGGGAGAGACAGTCAGGCCCCATATACCACTTGCTCCCGGCCCTCCTCATTTCCCTGTGCTGCTTTCCTCTGCCTTGCTGGCTCTTTCCCCACTTTGTACTCTGGAGAGCATGAGAGGTGAGATCTTCGCTCTCTCATCCAGAAGAAGCCCTACTGAGCAGGGTGAGAGCAGGCTCACGTGCTCTGGGGAGGTGGCCTGCCTGTAGTGTTGCGAGAACCACAGTGTGCTAAGTTAGGGAAGATTTCTGGAGTGCTGGGACTACCGCAAGGGGGTCTGTAAAAAGTAGTTAAATGGAAGCTTATTGCCAAGTCTAGGTGTTGTCTGTGCTTTGAATAGAAAAAAATTAGCAGGGCTGGAAAATTGGAAAAGGTTGAAGATCACTTTGAGAACTTGCTATTTAAAACCTCATAGCTACACTGATCACGTGTGAAATATGTATATTTTTTAATGCTTGAAATGTAGCAAAATCTGATGTATAGATAAAGCAGTGCTACTTCTTTTTCTCAGTCTCCTGCTTGGAAACATTTGGACTCCCTCTTTCCCACACAAAAGCTATCTCAGCCAGGGCAGGCATTAACATTTTTATCAGACTTAAATTGCTTGGGCTGAAGTTAAAAGCAAGTGAAAAGAGCATCCTTTGCTATGGGAAGTGCTGGACCGCCCTAGCAGGCAGTGCTACTGGTTTCACCTGTATTATTTAGTCTTTCCATACTAGCCCAGAAACCCGTGTCTGATGAGATGTGGGAACGCTCTGCCCATATCATCCTTGCAGCTGTCAAGGCCAGACTCTGCTGACTTTGGTCACAGAGCATCATTAACCTTAAGCCTTAATTGGACTTAACGTTTGATTTCCTTACCTACTATGGCTACCGTGGTATAGCTAAAACAGTATAAATTTTCTAGTGTGAACTAGCTACAGTAGTAAAAGGGCACTTTTGACCAAGATAACTTCCTCTGTGTTAAGGCTGAAAACAGATACTTTTCTTGCCAATTCATCCTCCTACCTGATGATGTTCTCACTTCCAGTTTTCATTCTGCTTCTCTGCCAGAGATTGATGCCAGTACAACTTGCAGAGGGAAGGGGTTGTGTACACGCTTCCTAACCTACTCCTGCAAAATCAGTTGGGATAGCCCAGATTGTTAGTGCAACCCAGAAAGAATTCCGCTGTTCTGGCCAGGGATGGACTTGGGGATTGCTAACCTGAGCTCTTCTGCTAGCAGAGCTTTGGGGCAGGTGACCCCTGGAAGTGGTGTGGCCGTGGGCAGCTGGGCAGGGGAGAGTCTTGAAGGGTACAAGAAGATCCAGAGGAAGCTGACTTCTTACAACCTTACGCATTTAGGAAATATTATGGTAACGGTAAAACATGGCATCTGCAGGGACAGAGGTCTAGCAGGGCAGAGTAGCAATGTCGCCCTGGTCAAAACTGAAAGACGAGGCACCTGGCCCCTGGCCATGTTATTTTTAACCTTGGAAAGCAGACGTGGTCTACAAGAAAAGGAACTCACCAGCACTTCCTGCCCTGCCCCTGCAAACTGATAAAGCTGTTTGCAATACAGGGTGACCCCAGTTTATTTTTAAACTGTGGCCAGGCATGGAGCTCAGAGAATAACTGGAACGCTCAGCTTTGAGCGTTAATTCAGCTCTAATTCATTGCTTGATGAATTAAAGAGTTAAGTGTAGAAAGGATGAAAAAGGCAAGTAAGCCATCTCCAGAGCAATGCTGGTGTAAATGCATGCATCTGCATGTGTATGTGATCCAAAAAAAGGGTTGTTAGTAAATGTTACACAGGGAGGGGCACTTAACATTATCCTGAGCATCATGTGAACTTTCTTGCTGCTTGGACAATGCATCTCAATCCTGTTCCCTTCCCTTGCTATTCCAGTCCCAGCCCTCTAGTAAGCAAAGGGATACAGTTCCCATATACAGTAAGTGCACCCAACACCAAAATCTAGATTCCTGCAATCAAAAGGCAGCAGGTTTTATGCACTAATGATAACAAGGCCCACTTGAATGAATAGATCTTCATTGCATGCTCTCTTCAGGCATGCATGAGATTGCCAGAGATGTTCTCAATCTTGCCCAGATGCTGGGACAGCAGGATTTCTGTGGCATCTAAGCAAGCTGGGCTCAGGCCAGGGAGCAGCTATTGCAGAGGTAGGAAATTGCAGCCTTGAGCTCACAGTGCGCGCGAGGTGCCTCACCATATCTTGGCTCTCAGTGAAACAGTCTCATTCCCACTGCAGGATGGAATGGTTTGTCAGGAATGAGATAATTATTTCTGGTCTAATTGATTAATTATTCTATTGATTGATAGACTTTATTTCTGTAGCAGAAAGTATCTCAAACACCCTCTTGAGGCATACATGGGCTGAATTAAAATGTCCTAGCAGCAATAAGAAATCTCCTGCTTTTCTCTAATCCTTCTAATGTCCTTGTGCTAGGACTGAGGGGAGATGTTGCTAGAAAGAAGGACTTGTCAGCTTGTCGCTTCCCAGCACTAGCTGACATCCCCAGATTGTCCTGCCCTGAGCAGGCATGTAGGATATCATGTAGGATATTTATAGAGGTGCCAGCCCTCAAGAAGCAGAAACGCCAGCTGGGAGGAAACAGCCCAGACTTTAGTCTGAGCACACTCTGGCCTAGACCTCTGGGAGGCTTCATCAGGGCCAGGTAAATGTGCTGGTAAAGGGACTGTGCCCCAGAAAACTAGGAGTTAAATTTTTTCATAGTGAGCCCCAAGGCATGGAAACCTTTAAGTGTGAAGTTCAAGCACCAAAGCCAGTAACCACACAAAGCAATCCCAAAACACCATGATATTCTCAGTCATGCCAAGAGCCAGTGAAAGGGATGACATGTGGGATGTGCGTGCAGGCGAGCACAGTGACAGCGGGACCCTGGGTGCATTTCACAACAATGCTGAGGTCACCTCAGGTAGGAGCAAGCTGGCTCAAGGTACAGCTGTGAAGGGGGTGCATGGAGGAGATTACTTAGATCAAAGCAGTAATGTTTACTAATGTCTTCCAACAGATAAATAGCCAAGTAAGCACCAAAAATAAACAACCTGATGCTTTTAAAACCATTGGGTTAAAGGCAACCCTTTCCAGTTTAGCAATCTTTCTGACTCTGCCCTTTTTCCAGGGTCTGCAGTCAAGAGGCATCATAGTGGCTGGGAAGGATGTGCCACAGCATGATCCTGCCACTGCTGTAATGCAGGAAGAGCTTTGCCTGTACAATCTGCTGAGAAGCACAAAACCATGCAGGCTTGTTCCCACCTAGGTGCTCATAACCAGCACTGGCAGTGAAGATTGCCCTGATCCAAGGTAGCTATGTGGGTCCCCTGACAGGCTGTACATAGAAGTTGATTAAGATAGCCCTGCCTATGCCATTGCCATGTCCACTTTAATGCAAATTTAGTCTCCTGTTGAGGGAAAGCAGCGGTCATCACCAGGCCTGTTTTTTCAGATCTGGGGATATCTGCTTTTTTTCTTTGCTGTCCAGTGAACTTTCAAGGAGGGAAGAAGCCTTCCCACATTACCCCAACAGCATCACAGTGGGTGGACTGTAGCAAATGCCTTCACAATTCTTCTTTTAGAAGTTAATTTGGAGATAAGAGAAGGGAACTTTCACTCTCACCATCTGCAGAGATGATCTGATGCCACCAACTCCTTTATTTTCACTCCTTGCCTGTCTGATAAAGACTCTTTGGGAAGCTTGGCTGATACCTGATGGACACAGCCACGGGCTTAGGAGCTTCTAGATTCAGGCACTCTTCAGGGCTAGGAAGGTTGCTGAAGTTTTTATTTAAGTAGGAAGTTTTTTCATTTTTCTTCTTGATGGAATATGCTCCAGATCGTGGGTCATTCTCCCTTTCTTTCCCTTTCAGGGAAGAAACTGCCATGCCTGTGGGAATCTTCCGGGTGTGCCTAGTGGTGATTACAGCTATCGTGAACCACCCACTCCTCTTCCCTAAAGAGAATGTCACCGTCCCTGAGAACACGGAAGAAATCATCCAGAAGATGAAGGAGCGAGAGGAGAGCCTTCGACTGGAGCAATTGCGTTTGGAGCAGGAAATTGCAGGGCAGGAAGCCAGGCAGAAGGCTCTAGAAAAGGCTGCAAAGGTAGTGGAGGAAAGCAAAGAGGAAAAGGTCCCATGGGATATGTGGACTGCTATTTCCATGGTCAAGGACACAGGCGGTGAAGAGGATGACATGGCTGTCCTGGGGAAAGCTTTTAAAGGAGTGGCCTTCCCTGACAAGGTCATCTTGGCTAGCTTCTATGAGAAGCGCATCCTGGGTACCACCGGAGACATGGCCAGGATGCGGGAGATGGTGGAAGGCTTTGCAGATGATTTGCTGGAGGCCTTGAGAAGTGTTTGTAACCGGGATGCTGACATGGAAGTGGAGGACTGCATGGGTGTGGGGAGCATGTATGAGAATTGGAGAGTGCGTAAACCTTTTGTCTGTGACCTGATAGTGCCTTTTGCCCCCCCGGAGCCATACTGTTTCCGGTCTCAGACCTGGTGCTCTGGCGATTCTTTTCCCCCAGATGAACAAGGTTATGGCACTATCAAGGTCTGCAGAGCAGATGAAGATGTGGCAGGTTGCATCTGTGACAAGACTAAACTGGGGGAAGATATGTTGTGTCTCCTCCATAGCCAAGCCAATACTACCAGGCCCAACAGTGAGATGGAAGACCTTCTGTGCTTCAAAAATACTCAGTATCTGGATGCGGACCAAGTCATGAAGTGGTTCCAGATCGCGGTCACCAAGGCCTGGAACAGAATTTCCCACAAGTATGAATTTGACCTTTCCTTCAGCCTCCTGGACTCCCCAGGGGCCCTGAAGATAAAATTTAGGTCAGGGAAATCAATTGCCTTCAACCTCACCCCTGTGGTGCAGTATGAAAACTCTGATGTTTACTTCATCTCTCACTTCCCTCGGAGTGGCCTGGCAGCAGACCTGCCCTCCAGCACTCACTGGTTTCTCACTTTCGCAGTATACGAGAGGAGGTTCATCCAGTTGGTCTCCAAAATGCTGCCTGCCAATGCCTGCCATGTTAGCTGCCTTCAGATCCTCTCCTTCCTCCACGAGAAACAGTGCAGCCTCACAGGTCCAAGCGGACTCACAAACTACCACCTGAAGACAGTGCTGCTCCATCTGCTGCAGGCACGTCCCTGTCAGGACTGGGCCCCGGAGAAGTTGGAGGCCCGTCTGCAAGACATGCTCAAATTCCTGGAGAAATGTTTGCATGAAAAGAAGCTTTACCACTTCTTCATTGGCAATGGGAAGGTACCAGCAGAGCTGGGTTTCCCCATCATATTCCAGAGGGCTGAGCCTCTCAACCTTTTCCGTCCCTTTGTGTTACACAGGGATGTTTACAGGAAAACAGTGGACACGTTCCATGAGATGCTCAGGAACACATCTGCACTGATAAATGAGTACACAGTACACATTCCACTTGCACATGCAAATGGGATCCATAAAGAATCCCTTTAACCAAAGCCAGCAGGAAAACACTTGTTCCTCTAACCACAAGTCAATAGGGCAGCTTTCTGAAGCCTCCTGGAGGCAACTGACTTTGCCAGTACAGCTTGTTGTCTGCAGCTGAACCTGTCCTGGGCTGTGGTTTCTGCAGTATGGAAGAGGGGATATGGGTAGAAGAGGGAGAAACTGGAAGATGTGGTGTAAAAGTGAGTCTCTGCTCCACGGGTGTGCTGGCTGGGTTTTGTGCAGCTAAATATATTTTTCTGTTTTGTCTCAGTCATGACACAGCGGTGATGAGCAACCAGTATGACTAATTTATTCAGATGCCTGCAATGCAAACGGTGGTGGTGGCCCAAAAACTTCATTTCCTTTGGAAGGGGGAGCTAAGAAAAGGGTAGAGGAATCAAAGAAAGGATTTTGGCATCGCAGGAGCCTGTCTGCTTGCAAACAAACAGCAGGAGTGCTGCAACCCTCTGCAACAAAGCGCAACATGAAACTCAGTGCTAGTGTGGGAAGGAGGGTCCCTACTGAGGTCCCTTGTGCAGATCTCAACTGGAGATCTTTAAAACAACTACAGTTCTTTAATCGCAAGGGAACTGCAGTTGTAGAAAAGCTTGCTTGATAGGACTTGCAGCAGTAATTTAAAAAGCTTGTCCTGTCCTTTAAAACACCCCTCTCCTGCACCCTGCACATTTATTCTCCATGGGGGGGAATGTAGCAGAGCAGGCAGCAGGATCTGTTTCTTCAGACCATTTCATCCGAGTCCTTCATTTCTTTCATGGTAATATGGCTAGTGGGATTTGTCCTTGGCTGTTTTCCATGGCCTCCTTGGATAAAAGAGTGAAATGCTCTTGTTGGCTTTTTGGCTTATTTGTTTGTTTTCCTTATCCCTGGGCAGCAAGTCTGAGAACCAGCAAAGACAGAAATGACTGCTACAGGGTTTTGCTCTACTTTCACAAAAGAGGAAACTTTCCAAAATTGTCCTGTAAAAAGCCCAATCACAGCAGGTTGGTAGCGAGAGGAAAGAATCACCCTCTAAATGAGCTTATGACTCTCCCAGCATGGTTTTAATGAGGTCAAAGCCAGCAAGATGGCTCCAAGTTGGGAGGAGGGGATGAAAGAGGTATGTATACACACAGCACAGCTTAGAAACACTGTGTCTTCTGCTCCCTTGTGATCTGTCATCCTTTCTGCTCCCAAGTACCCAGGCAAAAGCTGCCTGTCTGCCTCCATGTAGGATTTCTTCCGTCCTTCTTAACACTGCTACTCCAATGAGGTTTGCTGTTGGGAGCCACAGCTAGTGGGCCATAATTTGCTGAGACCAGAGTACAATGGAGAAATGACAGCTTCTGCAGGCTTTCAAGACAGGGGAGAATCTTGGGGTATATGCTAAAAAACTCAATGCAGAAATCCCCGAGGCAGAGGTGGCTGAACCCCCTCAGGAAGTAGCACGTTACTGCAGTGCCAGGGGGCTACTAAGCCCCAGCATGGTGGCCTTCTTGGAGGAGAGGGCCCAATAGCTCATCACTCTCCTTTGTGTGCTTTGTGCAGGATTCAAATCAGGGTGTCTGTTCAGATCTGCCTTTTGGAGGTCCCCCGAGTCCTGGCCTCCTCTGCTAAGGCCTCTTGCCTACAGTGGTCTTACATTAGGATTTCCTGCAATGTGCCTGCACTAGGCTTCTCTGAATCCTGTTTACAAGTGGACAGTTGTTCTGGTTGGTGAAACCAATCAAGGATGATGTTACCATGTGCCATGGCTCCACAGGTCCCTCTTTCTTTATCAGTCCTCGCTACCACATGCATCAGAGGGGCAATTTAATCCCTTGTCACTGTTAGGGTCAGCATATAGCAAGAGGCTCATTATCCAGCCTGCTGATGAGCAAACTTTCCATAGAAGTTTCCTCTCTACCCTCTTCCTCGTACTGACCACTTTACCACCTCATTGATGTCTGCTCTTGTCTGTCCCTCCATCAGCAAGGGACATTTTATGTACCAAGGCAGAGAAAGCTCTAATTCCTCTTTCCACACCTGGTTGATAAAAAAGCATTGGTGGCAACAGGGTGGCAATTTCCAGTTTGCTGGAAATTGCTGATCCCTTTGGCTTTTATCATCACAGCTACAGGATGGTTAAATAATATTCCTGAGCAGAAAACGAGGGATAGGGAAGCAAAATGAGAGCTGGGGCTGCCGGCTCATCCCACTAGGAGACAGCCTCGGATCGTCAGCCTGGTGTTTGCTTCAGCATCCTTGGCAGTCTCTGCATGGGAGACTGCCAGGGCTGGCAGAGCAACAGGAAAGGCCTAATTGTTAACGCTAACCAGAAGGCCCTTGGCTTTCATCAGCACAACCAAGCAAGCCTTGCTCAGCGGGAACGGGGGCAGGAGCAATTTCAAGGGACACAACAAGCAGGTAGTGACAAGCAGAGGCACAGGAACAGTGGGTGAATACTGGAGCCTGGAGGCTACATTGGAAGCTGAATAGGATGTTTGCAAACTCGAGTGATTTTCCATTGCTACCTGCTCAGGTTTTACTCTGCAGTGCCTCTATCACATCCAGCTTTGTGTGGGCTGCCTGCAGACAGGTCATGCTGAAGCAGTTGTGGTCTGAGTTGCTTCTAAATGTGTTCCCAGCGCAGCCAGAGAGAAATGAAAATTTCTCTGCCGTTTCCTGTCAAGGAGTCTAAATTTAGCCTGTCCAAAGAACAGAAACAAATTTGTGACCCAGGTCTCTCAGGAAATGACACTCAGGGTTGAAAAATAACTTTTATATAAGATAAAGCAGGGGGAGGATGAGAAGAAAAGGCTGTTGAACAGAATAATCCAACTTCCTTCTTAAAAAATGTCAGAACAAAGCTGTTTAACAGCAGTCCTGTGGGTTTGTAAACATGCCTAAACTTGACTTTACAACAAGTCCAGGTACTGCTGCTTACACTCAAAGGGAACCTACTGAAAAATGGATTGCATCTTTTGTTTTTCATTTTGTGTGTTTGTGTGTATATTTTCTCTTAAACCCAAACTGACCCTGAAACCCAAACTGACACCATGTTCTCATGGTGTCTGGTAGAACGCAAACTGGAACTGAAACAAGGAATCTATGGATTTGACTCCCCAGAAAGAAAATTTATTGGCTTAATTTTCCCACATGCAATATGCTTACTTTGTCCTGAGCATCTTTTAAGAGATTTGTTCTATGCATTCAGGCTATAATGGAACCCACTCACGTCTTTCTGGCAGGGAGAAGTGCTCTTTGTTAATAAGCTCCAGTAAGCTTCAGGGTGGAGATCTTTTTAAGTCACATACCCAGAGGTATACACTTGTCCCGTCTGGGGAGATGTGGGTACACAGCATTTCCCTGGATCAGACTGCAGCTGTGCTACAAGGAGGTCATGATATGAAGAACATCCTTCCTTGCAATGCTTTGTCCCTTTTGTAGTAAATCTTTGTCCACCGAGTACCAGCCCTGTTAGTAACAGGCCACATTCACATTTCATAAAAAAGGTTAAGAAGTCAGTTCAGCTCCATCAGCTGTCAGCCAGTGAAAATGGCCTAAGACTTTTTACTGGTGGCCACGTTTAGTTCTGCCTTGACTGAAGTCTTGCTGGGTATTCACCGGAAGCAGCTTCAAAGGGCAGGGGTGGAGGTGGGGTTTTGTTGTTTAAAGCGAATAACATCATTCTTTTAAAACTGAACAGTGCATGACATGTGAGCAACAAACACACATCATCTCTCTGGTAACGCCCTCATCACTGTGAGAGATCCTAAGAAAGGGTGATCTGCCTACCCAGACCCCTTTCTTGTGTCTCAGTACTGTTCTTGCTCTTTGTTAACCAGATGAACTCCTACTGCCTTCTGCTGGTTTCCAGCCACTCTCTCCACCCTCAACTTGTGGTTTCAATATTTTGTTACAGGCTCTTTGAAAGCAGTGGAATTAGTGGTGGGTTGATAACATCCACTGATCTACAACGTAGCCTCAGGAGCCATTCACCTTTCAGAAATGTCTTGGTCTAACGTTGTTATTACTATGCAGGAGCTGAACGTCATCTAAGAGGAGCTGTGCAGAGTTCACTCTTTACTATGTGCCAACTGCACGATATGGCTTCTCTCTCTGGGCTGTTCTGCATACAGTAGTTATGGGGGG